GGACCCATTTTCAGCCAAATGGTGAATTGTTATAGGCTTGTATGAAAGGCAAGGTGGTGATAGTAATGTAAATGTCAATTGTATAGTCCATCAATACTTACCAGCTCGTGCTAAAACGGTGTACCCGGCAACGGAAAGTGGGCCAGCTGGAGAAGTATCCTGTTGGACTGAGCTCTGGACCTGACTTTGATAAGTAAGGCGAGAGCTAGGAATCGTTGGAAGCCGGAAGTCGGGAATTAGATGTTGCTGTTGTTGTTGCAGATTAGGCTGGAAGTTATGCTGGTGTTGTTGCGCCTGTATTTGTTTGATTCTGGTGGAGGGAGGTTGCGTGATTGTAGCAGCAACTGAAGCGATAGAAGTATTCGAGGTGCCCGGGACCACCATACTGGATTCGGTATGTGTGCTGGCCAGGCCCATTGTGAGGCGATGTGGGGCAGAGTTGGCAAGGGTCGCAGTAGTGGTAGTGATGGTGTTGGTGAGGGAGGCAGCGGTACCAGCACTTGTGGCGAGAAATATCAGATCCGATTGACCAGCAGAGAGCCCAGAGGTCGTCTGTGGCTGATAAAGGAATAGAGTAGCACCGGAAGGTTTGGCCTTGCCCGGCACTGACAACGGAGGCTGGATTCTAGCCTGGCTAACACCGGGATGCGCCAACGCTGATGGAAGAGGAGCGTGGCCCAAAGAGCTAGAGACGAGACAGGCCTGTACAGACATGATCGCATACGTTAGTTGTGAAGGGGAATACGAGAGGAAATAAGGCAAAAGGAAATGTTAGAGTGCTTGTGAAGTAGTCATAAAGACAGATAGCATTTGCGGCGCTGTCCTTGTTGTAAATATCGTTTCTACAAACAACTAAGCTCATGGAATTCAGGCGGATCTCTTGTATTTCTTATCCCTAAGACGGATATGATTTCAATCGTATCAGTTAAGACTACTTAAAAAAATAATATGTATGAAATAATATTTACATAATATGATAATATGCAGAAATAACTATTCCAAGCATTAACCATAAGGTTTAACAAAATAGCAAGCCCTAAAAGGGGTTGAATGGGATGCTGATTGCCTATCAACGACCGTAATAAAGCTCGATAGAAGGCCATATATGTTTAACCAGCGAAAAACACTTATTATACTTATTATGCAATTTTCTTAACTTAGAATCTAAATAGAATTTTTTCTTCAGGAAATAAAGCAATTCAACAATTTACGAAACGTTAGACACTACAGAGTGCAATAGATATGAAACCCAAGGTAATCGCAATCTACTGTTCTCGTGTGGAGTTAAAGCGGCCTCTTTTTCTCCAACTTAACCAGGCCCACAATAA